GAGAGGAATTGCGTTTTCATCACAAAATGTGTGATGCATGGAAAACAAGATCTATGGTAAATCGTAAACAATTCTTCATCACATTTTCACGATTTGTGTATGCATTGAAGATAACACCTCGATCGATGACGAAATGTTTGCAAATAAATTGTCAACCTCGGCAAAAATGCGAAATGGAATTGTTTTTTTTTCTTTCGCACAAATAAACAGTCTAACGACGAGCTAAGGTGAAACCGGAATGCGTGTGTGTAAATCAGATTGAACTTTTAATTTTTACTTGTCTACAACTTTTCCGATAGCCCAACACCGTGGATGGATCCTCAAAAGATCTCACGTGAGATTTGGTCCCCTGATCGTAACATGATTCTACCGTGTTCCAATTATGTGATATGCTTTTATGCTAAAAGTTCAAGTTGAGTAATTATACTTTTTTTCACTTTTCTGTTTGATTCAATTGAATATTTTTCTTTTTTTTATATGTTCACGTTTCTGTTCCCCAGTGTTTGATTCCACCTCGGGGTATTTTTATCCAGTTGAAATTAAGCGTTTCGTCACTACTGCCAGCCAGCACTCATACAAATCTTCACCACACATCCCTGATTTTCCCATACTTCGATCAGATTTTTATTTCAATTTCGGTCCCGGCGGTGAACTGGAACCGGCCGCATCTCATCACAATGCGCGGACAGTGGCTTCCATCTGTCGAGCCCAATCGGACGAGTTGCTCAATCTGCTAGCATTGATGCCCCCGGCGTGCTATGACACACACGATCAGGAAGCGCATCGACGTTCGGTTACACTGAATCACGTCACACTGCTCGGATTTTGTTCCCAAGGCTTGGCACGTTCACCGGCCCACCGTCGGCTACAAAATGCCACTTTGGCCGCAGAACTATTTGTATGGGTCTCGCGGCAAGCTCCGGATCGACAAATTCCACCGATTCGTTCAGCAGGGCAACGAAAAAGTCGAGTGTTATCAACAGATTCGGGTAAGCCATGGAGACAGTGGTATAACATTATTTTTATTGCACACCTAAGTGTGTGATGTACAGCAGACGGGGCGAGCCCCGTTGGTCAGTGATGATAACCGGCAACCTAAGCTCCGGGGCATGGAATAGGGAAACACATAAGGCCTCTGAAAAGTTTCTATCAAGTCACATCTGAATCTTCGGCATGAAGGCGAGTAGAGATTTCGGTTGTACGGATAATGTGT